TTTACCCCCAACTTCTAATTGGCTGTACTAATTATTCACTTAGCGGAGTATTTATATTATTAATCAAATTTTATGTACTCCGATAGTGAAGTTGGGAGAAATTAGGCACCCTCCCTAAACGTGATGCAAAAAAGCTGTTTAATAAAACGTCTGTAGTTAATAAAATTTGGATTTGTTACATTACACCGATCTTTAAATTTGACTGGTCAACAGGAGGAACAAAATTTTAAGATTAAAAACATACCTCGTCAAAAAATTCTTGAATATGAATTACATTAAGTACTTTAAGCGCATAATCTTCAAATAATGCAATTTCTTTGGTTTGTTTAAACCTTTGTGCACGATATACAGTTGCGAATCCACCTTTTCCGACCTCTTCAATATTGTTAAATTCATAATATGGAATCCATGACAATTTATACCTCTCATCATCCAACATTTGTTTTACAATATCGTCAATTTCAAAATTTTCGTATGATTTGGTAATTTCTAAATGAATTGTTTGATTATTATTATTGAATAAATAAAAAACATTATTAAAATTTACCTGAAGATTTGTCTCTTTCCCTATATAGATTATTTTTATTAGTAAATGATAAATCTTTATGAACAAAAAAATAGTTATTTACATTAGAAACCAATTATTAGCTTTTTGTATGTCTCTTTCAACTCCAATCCCGTTTCGATAACAATATCCAAGTTTATTCATTGCGCTAGTATTTCCCAATTCGGCTGATTTTTGATAATAAATGAATGCTTTAACTTCATCCATTTCAATACCGAATCCATTTTGATAACAATTTGCAATATTATATAATGAAGTAGCATTACCCATATCAGCAGATTTTTGATAATAGATGAATGCCTTATGTTTATCCTTTTCAACTCCAATCCCTTTTTCATAACAATAACCAATATTATTTATTCCTCGAGCATGACCTATATCAGCAGATTTTTGATAATAAATGAATGCCTTATGTTCATCCTTTTCAACTCCGATTCCATATTGATAATAATAACCAACTTGAGATATTCCATTAGTATCGCCCATATCAGCAGATTTTTGATAATAAATGAATGCCTTATGTTCATCCTTTTCAACTCCAAATTTGACATACCATTTAATTGACGTTCAAGATCAGAGATGGTCTTTTTAGCTTCATCTTTATTTATCATGAGTTCTTTTAATTCTTTGAGAGTGCGATCATGTGCAATTTGAAGATCATTCAATTTAGATCGAGAATCTTCATTCTGTTTCTTGATATCAGATAAAGTAGAATCTTTATTTATAATGAGTTCTTTCAATTCTTTGAGAGTGCGATCATGCTCAATTTGAAGGTCATTCAATTTAGATCGAGAATCTTCATTTTGTTTCTTGAGATTAGATAAAGTAGTATCGGTCTCACTCTTATATAAAATCCAATTTGCCTCAGACTCTTCTTTCTTTTTTATTTCTGCTAAAAGTTTTTCTTTTTCTGATCGATGTAGATTCACTAGTTTACTTTCTAGATCTTTTTTCTCGGTTTCATGTTGAAGCAATAATTGATTTATTTTTGATTCGGTATCTTCATGTGATTTTGATAGATTACTAAATTTTTTAGAATGTTCAGATAATAAAGAATCTTTTTCCTTTTCATGTTGTTGAATAATCGAACGTTTATCATTTTCATGTTGTTGAATAATCGAACGTTTTTCATTTTCAAAGTTATCTTTTAATGTATTAAGCTCAGATTTAACTTGATTATTCAACTGAGAAAGATTCGTTATTTCAGCTAAAAAATTTTCTTTTTCAGTATCATAAGATTTTTTTTCATTTTCAAAGGTATCTTTTAATGTATTAAAATCAGATTCAAATTGATTTTTTAATTGAGAAAGATTAGTTATTTCAGCTAAAAAAATTTCTTTTTCAGCATCATGAGATTTTTTTAATAAATCTTTTTCATTTTTATGTTGTAAAATTAATTCTTTACGTATACGTTCATTTTCATTATTTTGTTCAGCAAGTTCATTTTTAGATTTTTGTAATTCACTCCAATGTTTATTTCTAGTATTTTCTAATTCTTGTCTAGCTTTTTCAAGTTCTTCTGCATGCTTTTTTTCAAGTTGTGCTTTTATAGAATCATCTAACGTATTATTACTACTTCGACTTATTCGACTTATATCGTAAGAAGGAGTACGAGAAGCATAATTTGATGAAATACTATTACTAAGATGACCATTTGTCTCTGTAGGTTGAGAAAAATCTTGAACAGATTTTGTAAGGTCAGAATGACGAGAAATTGAAGTAGAAGTAGAAAAATTGTCTAAAGAACCATTCAATGGTGAACTTTGATCAGAATAGTAATCAAGATGTTCATCAGGTTGCATTTTCTCTTTTTGAGAATTAGAGACCGTATAATCATCAAGATCATCAGTCATTTCTTTGTCTACCATGTCTAATTCATTTTCCAAAGCAGCCATACGAGATGCTAGACTGGCCATCGCGGCAGCAGCGGTACTAGAAACCGACATCCCCGATGTAGTTTTTGTACTCATTGGAATAAACGGGAGAAAGTGGAGTGGAAATAATCGGATAAGAGAGATAAGTTATTAATAAATTCAGGTCGCCAATGTTACAAATGCTAGAGGAGAAACATTAAACATTGACATAATGATAAGGATAAATTAGACAAAAAAAGAAAATAAAAATAAAATGAGATGGTTATAATAATTCAAGCATCAATTGTTATGTATTTTGAAACTTTTTTAAACAAAATTAATATACTCACGTTTTTATTGGCTGTTTTAGGTAGACTATTTTTAGGCGCAACCTCGATGACGATAATTAAGATAAAGGAGCGATATGGTTTTTAAGGACTTTTGTAAAACGAAAAGCGGACTTTGTAAATTAGAAGCCTGAAAGAAAGTGGATAATGTATAAATGATATTAGGTAACACGTAATTAAACAATTAGACATGTACGTACCAATACTAGTTAAAACAATGTAGTATTGGTAATACCGAAACTATTTACGCACTACCGCTACGTAATACAAATATCTGTATGCAGTATAGTATTTCACAACTAATGGATTTGAATTAACGTTAAACTCAAAAATAAAAATATACACAAAATTGTAAATGATATGTATGAGAAAACATGAATGTCAAAATGAAATGAAGGATAACTGCATTTAAAAGGTTGATATTTTTATTTATTTAATCGATCTTTTTCATTGGTTGTTAGTACAGTACATTAATGGTGTGTCGTCCTTAAAATATATGCTTAGAACCTGCTATAAATATTTTATATGATTTTTTCCGACAAAAAATAATTATTGATTTATATTCTTGTAGTAGACTTTCTATACAATGTGCATATTTCGATGATATGATATCGTCAATGTATCATAGAAACCATGAGTGCCCAAATATATAAATTTTTTCATTATATGATTGATGACAGGTTTCCCTTGGCAGCCTCATTTAGTCGAAACTATTTACATAATTTAGTCTCACATATCTAGTTTGAGCTTTAATTAAATAAAGGATTCACCCCTTTTCACAGACAGCTATTTTCCCCTAACCAACGCTAACTCGATAAGGCTAACCCTAACTCCAAATCGAGCCAACTTTAATTATCGGGAAATGGCTGTCGATCCATCGGTAATGGAGTATTCTTATGTCTGAAATTATTATCGTTATGTATAATGATATAAGAGTGAGCAATGAAGAGTGAGTAATGAAAATAGTGTGTGACTGCCAAACAAACAACAAAAAATATTTGTTAAACCAAGATGCTAAGCGGTTCCTAAAGTTTGTGATCAATTCAGAGTTAGGACCGTAATAATTTTTGACAAATTATTTTAGCAAAAATTAACCCTAATTTGTGTCAATATAATTTAGGCTGAATTAAATACAGTAATTACAAAACCAATTCAGCAAAACGAAGAAAAAAAAACAATTCTTAAATTCCGAATTTAAGATTTCACATAGTATGGCTTATAAGTACCTGAAAAATATGACTGAATGATAATAATTAATATTGAGTTATACAGTATCAGTATTACATAACCAGACCGATTGCGTCATTAGAAGTGATCCCGAGATAAGGATAGTTGAGACATTAAACTATTTTTGCGTATAAAACGCTTTAGAGGGTATTTTATTTTGATGTAACGCACGGATAGTTCCTTACGTGTTACTATTGATTCGGTACTTCGTGGTCCCTTCGTCGACTCAAAAGACTGAATCCAGAGTTTTTTAATATCTACATTTAGGATTATAATTTAATGCATGATGAGAAGTTAATTATAGCACGCTAATATGTTGCAAGCTAAATAACTTTTGCCCCGTGAAACTTAGGCGAAACATTTTGGATTCCAAAAATAGTTAATATAACATTATTATGGCTTGGCTGAAACATTAACTTATTTTCCTCACACAATGTTTTTTATTCTGAAAGCACTATTGCTAATTATGGGTATTCTCAAGCAACCCCTTTAATGTAATTTGCTAACGTCGAACTGTTGGTCAATCATTGCGATTAATTGAATTTTAAACCATTTCCCAAAAGAAAATATTATCTTTATTAGGCCATACAAAATTAGTTAATCGGTTTTCATAACCCGGCCGGGTCAAAATTTACAAAACTCTAAAAAAAATTTTCAAGTATACTTACTATCCGGGAGAGTTTTTTTAAAAAATCTATAAAAAATTTTATGTTTTTTTATATATAAATTTTTTTGAAAAATAAAATTAAAAGCCGGGTTGCCGGGTCACTTTTGAAAATTTTATGTTATGAAAACCGATTTATTAAGTTTGTATGGCCTTAATTATTTTCGTTTTAAAAACTTAAAAACTTTAATGTATCAACATTATATTTTGTACCGGCATTGTCAGAATCGCTTCTAATAAAAGTTGGTTGAACAATTTCCCACTTGATCCCAAATATTTATGTGGAAGTTATGCTTTTAAACAATCTGATAAAATTTTAGGTGACCTTAAATATAAAAAAGTTTGATACGAAACTAACATAATATTTGTGTAACAGTACTTTCGATAGAAGAATAGACAGCCAATAAAAACAATTTTCCATGTAAACAGCGATACAAATTCTGTACGTAGTATGATTTGCACACTTGATAAATCTAGCAATTTCGATTTGGACCTTTTTTAACAGAAAAAAAAAATGAATTCAACCCAACTAAACAATCTTGGATACAATTATCAATATGGATTCGGAGTTGAAAAGGATGAACATAAGGCATTCATTTATTATCAAAAATCTGCTGATATGGGTCA